CTTTTGGTGATAAGTGTTATTTTGGTGAAATGTTACGCTTTTGGTGTTACGTGATGAATTTCCTGTTATATGTGAGTATGTGTTGCTTAATGTTATGAACTCATAAACTGAATTGTTGACTCGTTTGGGAAATTGTACGTTTTCCCTACGACTATATGCAACTTTTATTAACTCACTCAGCAGGGGCTGACACTTGTTTCTTTTACTTTGTGTCATGTGATCGGTACCGATAGCTTAGGAGCTTGGGATTGGTGAGAGGGGTTGCTAATGGGTAGTAGATTTCATTATCGATACCAATCTTGGACACGTTTTTTATTATTTACTTTAAAATACTTTTGCTTCCGCTACATTTTTAATTGGTTTGGAATGATGTTTGAATTTTGAAGTAACGTTGTGGTTTGAGAATGTTTTAAACTAATATAATAAAGTCTTCCGTTGCGATTTTCCGTTAAAAGGTTTTGAAAAAAAATTGAGGTGAAAATCACGACGTTACACTAAGGCCCAAAGATCCAAAGTCCAAAGCATGGCCCAAACCGAGGCCAAAAATACACCAAGTCCATATCTGATGAGTACGCGGGGCGTACTTCTATGTACGCTAAGCGTACTGGCTGATGGCTTGTACGTCGTACGTACCTGCTTGTACGCCCAGCGTACAACCCTGTTAAGCCATTTTTCCATTAAGTGCTTAATACTCCAAACCAGAAACTACAATCATAGATCAAGGTCCTTTTCAACGTCTTAATCCATAAAGTCGACTACTTGGTGGCTTACAACCCACCAAATGAGCCCAAACTTGAAATATAACAACATACTTCCATGGAAATGGCTAGATCTCATGCATGAACCCATTAAGACATTCAAGATGGCAACTTTACTGCTTTTGTGACCCTTTTTGGTCTAAGGGTGGCAACCCTATGCTCAAAAACGAGATTGCATCATAAAGATCCATTCTTTGGACTAAAAGAGTCCATAAACTCATCCTAAGAGAGATCTAAGAGAACAATCATCAAGCTCAGAACTTTATACCTTGAAAGGGTCTGGAGAGAGGCAAAAATCTCAAATCTACAACTTTGCCTTTGATCTATCACCTTGCTATGCACTTCTCTTGCTTGGAAAATGGCTTCACAACTCCAAAATGCTCTCCGATGGCCTCCAAAGCTCCAAAAACACTCAAGGAAGGATTAGGGTTTCGTGGTGGCTGTCCAAAGATGAAATGGAGGCTGACCATTGAGACACATCATTCCTTTTATAGTGTAAAACCCTAAAATTTAGGGTTTCTGGACTCTGGACGTACGTTGGGCGTACGCCTTTAACACCTGCGTCCATCTTCCTTTATACGTTGGGCGTAACCCAGCTTACGCTGGGCGTACCCAGCCGGACATGTGCATGCCTCCCTTGCATACATGGGACTTACTTGCTAAATATTTCCATTAGGGACTAAAATTGAAAATAACTTCAAAGTGCCATAACTCCTTCATTCTAAGTCCGTTTCCGATGAACTTTATATCCACGAAAAGGTGGCGGGAAGCCCTACGCTCCTAGCCACACCCCCAAGCCTAAAAACCTTCCAGATAAGGACCCCCAAGATCCATAAAAGACTGAAACCCCTCTAGCATTGGCCTCCGAAGACCATAAATGAATACTTTCAGAACTGGGTGTTACATTCCTAGTCTCTCCTAGGATTCCCACCTCACCCTGCCATCAGCTACTGAAGTACCTCTACTAATGACAATTAACTACTTCACGAATACAATTACATGCAACAAAGCTTAGATAATCCTTCGACCCAAAGACTCAACCCTATAACGGTTAGACTCAAACGAGAGTTTCACAATTAGGCCAAGTCAACCACTGTATGATTATTTAACCCTTACTACATGTAACTTAACATATTCATGCAATAACTAACTTACATCAATATGAGTCCTACGAAGCACAAAGCAAGTAGAATTCGAGCATCGAGAACTAATAACATTACATAAATAAGTAGTCCTATCTTATAAGCTTCTGAAGATCTCTAGTCACTAGCAGGCATCACTACCAGCTCACACAATAGGCATAAAGGCATCTCTCCTAATCAGGCATCCTACCATGCAACACTGAGCAGATCCTTAGCCCTAATCTAGCATGTAATTCTCATATACTCACATCAAACATCAATCATAAACACGCACAAGTATTTTGAGAAATATTTACTTGAGTTCGGCTGATTGCATGCATCGCACCCCTTTTATTTTAAAAACTTTCTTAGAAAATAATTTTAATTTTTAAAAGAAAATTACCAACTCCTCAGTTTGAGTTCAAGCACACCCGAGAGCATGCTTGAATCCATAAAACCAAGGCTCTGATACCAACTAGTAACACCCCAAATTACAACCCATTTTTTTTTATAAAACTTTAAGTGTTTATTTAAAACACAACTACAAGATCTTAAAAACATTTATCAGAGTATCATTAAAAGTTATCATCCACACACACCAAATCACAAACAACATCTATGGGTTATCATCAACCCTAGAGACTACCTGGAGTCTCAGTGGGCAAACAGCACGCCCTGTAGGTTATCAACAACTCTGGAGACTACCTGAAGTCTAGGTGGGCAAACAACACTCCCTGTTGTTATCAGCAACCCTGGAGACTACTTAAGGTCTCATCATACATAGTATCACATATAATAATAACAACTAAAACCCAGTTGGTTTGCACATATAAACTACCACATAGGGCAAGCATATAAGAATCACAAAGACAGCAAGCATCCTACATACACAATTTAGTGGGTTGGCATTGGTGCCTTCGGCCCACGATCATAATGAGAAGACTCACCTCAGTCAGAAGATAGCAAATCTCACACCCAAGTTTGTTACGCAGCAGCTCCTCACACTGAACAATCAATACCAACCCTAGTTACTATCTAAGTTTTAGCCCATAAATCATTAGGCCCAATAATGACCCAAACCCAAACTAGGCCTACTAATGGCCCAGGCCCAACTAGAGAACCCTAAGGCCCAATATAGGTCCAAAGTTCCAAAATGGCCGAAAATCAACGGTCCAACCTCCAACAGATGACCCTCCCGTCGTGACCAGCCCATGGTCACGTCGTGAGTATTAACTCGACCCGGTCCTCACTCAGTAGGTCAACTCAGCCAGTCAACTCGCTCAGTCTCGATTCCAATCATCATCACGTCGTAGCCACCCCCGGTCATGTCGTGACCTAGTCCGGACAAAACAGTTGGGATGGGATGCATTCTCACGACGTGACAGGCTCATTCCTCACGCCGTGAGTGCTGTCTTGGCCAACTTTGAGCATTAAGTTCTTATTCCTTTTAGCCACCACCTGGTACTTTCCAGAGGGTCTTCCTTCACCCAAAGGGACAATAAAAATCGTAGCTTTTTTAGTCATCATGTCCAATGCATGGATCAAACATTCACTAGGTCAAAAGAGGGAAAATGAGATCAAGACTCATGCTTGAAGTCTAAAACCAACTCCAAAACTCAGATTATAATACAGAAGTTGTCTCAATGATCCATAAACTTTCCAACTTTATGGATCCCGTGCATGATATCCCACTTAACCATGCAAAAAGGAGCTTTAAACCTAGATCTAGCATGCAAGAGGTAAAAAGGCCAGAGCTTTATGACTTACAATGGTCCAAAAGCTCTGCAAGAAGGTGAGGTAGAAGATGGATTGCCAAGAGCATGCTCGACAAAAAGTTTTCTTATTCTTCAATGAGCCAAAAACGACCAAATAAGTGCTTCAATGTCACCAAAAATGGCTAAGGACCTCAAGCAAGTCGAGATTAGGGTTTTCGGGGGGCAAGAGAGTGAGGGAGGCTAAGGATGGGCAACCCTAGCCTTCTCATTCCATTAAATACCCAAAATATTAGGGTTTTGGACATCAGGCCGTTCTCACGTCATGAGCATCCAAAGTCTCACGTAGTGAGGCTCAAAAACACGGGTCAACTAGTCAATGGTCACTCACGACGTGATCACCATCATTCCCAAATATGAATGATGATTTTAATGAGCTGCAGAATTGATGAAAATCCGCAATCAGGAGATGAAAACAATCCCTAATCGGTAGACTTAGATGCATAGACGGAGAAAAGGGTTTTATTGGGTATTTAGTTATGGGCTGGGGTGGGTGTTAGGAGCTCAAACCAACTACGGATGGTGAGGAAGAGGTGGTGTAGGGTAGAAGAAGATGGTCATCGTTTGAAGGTTGGGTGGTCGGAATCGCAACAATCTCAACGGGAATCGCAACAATATGAAGGTGGAAGAAAACGAGAAACAACACTAAGGACTTGACGTGGTGTTTGATTCTGATGTCGCCTAATTGGGGTCTCTAATGATAGCTTGATATGGGTCGGATTATCATCTTCCTCGCCTGCTCCGTCCAGAAAAAGAGGAACAATGGTCGCTAATTAACCTCATGTATACTTTTCCTTTACACAACATATTTGAGAGAGAGAGAGAGAGAGAGAGAGAGAGAGATGCATATATTAATTCGGCTCCATCTATAAAATTTATTACAGTTTCAAGAAAAAAAAAAGTTAATGTGATATGATTGATATAAAAAATTAAAAGAAAATATAAAAACATTAACAGATTTTACTTGATCAATAGATGGTTTCTCATTTCAAAGTAATAAATAAATAAATAGATAACCAGAATGATACATGTACTCGTGTAGTATATGACCAGTGTTATTTTTAAGGCCTACAACACAATAAGCTCAAAACAAAGTTATACAATTAAAATCATCATTCATATTATATACAAATTCATCCCATATTGCTTTAGCCGTCACATGCATCAAATTCATCAAGCAAAGGTGAATCCCGAGAGGTAAAAACTCTTATGTTTTATACAAATAACCTGATAAAAACGATATCCATACAAGTAATCAAGAACGTAAAAAAAAATGTAGAAACAAAACAGACCAGTCAAATTACAAAATGTCATGATTTTTAAGAAAGCTTAAAAGTAGTTACCTAGCATTAGACAAAAAAATCCCCTGAAGAGTTTTCACCAGCTCCTGACAAAAAAATCACAACCACTTCTTTCTCTTTTTCTTCAACTATTTTGACAAGTCTACAGTTAATTTGGTCGGGTAAACTCATTTCATTCTTCGCTCGTTCATCGTTGTCTTCATCTGAGGAAGAAGCCCTCTCATGTTGTGTTCCAACATTTCTTTTCTCATACTTAAAAACTGGGGCGATATCATTATAGTCTTGCAGCGCCATAACCCAACGACCGTTCCTGGTGGTGTCAATAGGCACCTTATGCCCAAACACTTTCTGCATACAGATAATAAAAAAAAAAAGAACAAAATTTAAAACCTACTGAAAACACTCTATCCAAACAAAGCATCTTACCCCATGATAACTGACATCAGCATCAGTAAGGCATTTTTTGGATATGCTGAAATTCCCTTCAAAAGTAAAGTATTGTTCCTTTGAATTTTGATCGACTCGATGTATTTCTGTCATTGTAAATAGATTTTCGCAGTCACACTGAAAACATAAATAAAGACCAACTATTAGAATTGCTTTTCAAAAAGTATGTAAAAAGGGTACAAGATGAAGAAAAAGAAAAAACTTACTTTATGTACCAAATCAAATCTTAAAGGGTCTTCCATTTTGACTTTTTCAGAAAAGACGCGTCGACAGTCATTACATCGGAAGTACAAATCAATAGAGGTAATCTTCGGATCGATACAGTTCTTCTTGCCTTCTACAGTCAGAAAATATTCCATTTTACGAGTTCGTAAAATCCAACTGAAAAAAGGTTAGAGAAAAGGATTAAAACAGATTAAAGAAATTTACAAATTAAGACTTTTGGAAGGCAGTTTTATAATTGAATTTTGTAAGGCAGTTATTTTAGATGACAAGAGAAACAGGCACATCAGTTTTGGTGAAAAATCTTCCCAAACATAGCACTGAATATTAATTTGTATTTGGATGATATTGCTACAATATGTAGATGTTTCCAAGTACAATGCTATATTACTAAGTGATGGAAGCAGGATGCTAGAATAAAAAAACCAGTCAAAGTACATTGTTATTTTTTTCAATTCACACTAATTTTTTCAGACATTGAAAGTTGGAACTAATCCTCAAGGGTATACATATAAAAAGAAGCATTAAAAGCAAAATCAGCACTAAATATGGTTACATCTCAACAAATGGTAAAGACATACTCATATATTAGGAAGTTGTTTCCAAGTACAATGCTATATTAGGAAGTAATGGAAGCAGGATGCTAGAATAAGCAATATTGTTGCTTCTTGCAATTCACACTAATTTTTTCAGACCTGATGTGAGGCTTTGAAAGTTGGTACTAGTCCTCAAGGGTGTACATAAAAAAATTCAGACAAAAAGAAGCATTAAAAGCAAAATCAACACTAAATATTCATTACATGTCAACAAATGATAAGACATACTCATAGTGAAGCATGTATAGTATACAAAACGTAACTCAAAATAATCATTAGCATTATAGTGATATAGAAGCATATCATTACAGAGTAAGAAGCCAACCTTCAGAAAATCAGCAGTCTATGGTAATAAAATCCTTGATTATCCTATAAAATTGACATCAATTTCCCCTTCCTGCACAGCATCCAATACATGAAGGAGACTATAAATTAGTAGAAAGGACTTGAAAATTTTAATGTAAAAATACATCCACTAAAACACAACATACAAAAATAAGCATAACAACAAAAATTAACATGGCATTTTCTTTAGCCAACATCTGCTTCGAACATGTCAATCTCAAATATACAACAGATACACAGAGTAGACTACACAAATACACTCAATCCCATGTGTTGTGGGAACTGGGAATGATGTTTCAATCCCCACTTTGCATTTGCAGGTTAACCTTTTGGTGCTCAAGCATTATTTTATTGAGGGAAATGATTCCAATAAGCCAAATTGGAGCAAGAAACAAGATCATTCAGTTCAGAAAATCGAGTTAGGGATCCTTTCACAAATCATTGACTATATTTGGTTGCCAGATACAAACTCATTTCATTATATACACAAAGTTGTTACAAAGTTCTTATGGGTGCACAGAGCAACAGAGCGATTTTTCCATTAATCTACGCCAAAATGCTTTCGCAGATGCTATCAAGAGAAGTTATGCCCGTGCAAGGGGATATGAACGTTGTTGCCTCAAATATACAACAGATACTACACAAATAAACTCATATACATAGAAATATCTACAGAAAGCGCATAGAAACACCCACACAATACCCAAGAACATTTCATTAAGGCCATTTCAGCATACTTAGGCTATGAATCTGGAACTCAAATCATGGATCTGAGTCCCATAAACACATAAAACTAAACACACTTAGAGTGGGGCTTTCACAGAGAAAAAGAGACCGACCTTGGCGTGTATCTTTCACAAATCTTGGTGAAGGTTGTGTTTAAGCTTTCAGAGAAGCGGCGGCGACGATTCAGTGGACGGAGGAACTACCGGTGGTTGTGCATAGCACCGGTGGAGAGGAAGGGACGAGTGAAATAGCGATGGTTTTAGCCTTCCAAGGTTACGGCTTTGTGTTTTATACTATTCTCTCGTCCTAATAACAGACTGACTGCCACAAAATCCCTTCTGTCTATCTTGTAGCTCTATTCTCAATTCTTTTCCCGCCCATTTCTTACTTGAGGAATCTACATCATCTCCTACAAATCAGCTATTTGGTTACCATATTGTCCCTGTATTTACACACATTTTGAATTTTCAGACTGTGTTTGGAATTGCTTTTTAACATAAAAGTCCTTTTTATAAAAATGATTTTTTGTAAAAGAATTTTTTAAAAAAGATGTGTTTAAAATGTGTTTGGTTTGTCTTTTATGACTTTTAAGTGATAAAAGCTAAAAGTCACAAAAAGATTGGAATTCTCATTTTTTTTTCCGGTCAACTTTTCCTTCTTGATTAAAAGTTGATTTTAAAAGATCTTTTCAATTTACCAAACAATTTTTAGTAATTTTTAACTTTTTGAAAAAATTAAAAGTCAAAAAGATGATTAAAAAGGAATCTCAAACACCCTCTCAATTTCATATATCCTCAAATCCCATATAATTAGCAATGTTTTTGAATTAATTGATCTTTTACCAAATATATAGCCATCATATTAGGAATTAAATCATGATTACAACATTCCCGCGTATTCATTACATTTATAAATACCGAACCTCTAAATTTTTTTATATGTTTGGCGTCTTTCTGCTTCTACATCTCCGCAAACTACCATCTTCATTCATACATTTCAATTCATCAGGTTAGTGTAAAACAAAATAATTTTCCATACTTTCTTTTATTTTGTTTATTTCTATCTTCTTTTCCTTCTGTTACAATTCTGATATAGCATCCTAGAAACAAGTATGTCGAGTTATGTGTGTTGCTCTCTGTGTGTTTTATTGACATCGTATTTTTGCTTATACTTTTTTTATTGTCTTTTTTAATACAAACATATAAATGTTTTACCAATTATAACAATGAACTTTAAAAGTACTTTGCCATAATTGGGATGCCATTATATGATTTTCTTTTTCCCAGTTTCAATTGTTAATAAACATGCTTATTTATGGTTATGGACAATTTCTGTCATATCAGTTTGATTTAAGGACCATTCACATCTGTTTTATAATTTTATTTTTTGCGTGTGTTGTGTGTATTGTATTCATTCAAGTGGCATAAATGTTTTATATACTAAAATGAATGAACTATTTCTCTATTTAGCCTATTATAGGACCAATTATGTAATATAGCTAATTTCTTTTTGCTCATGGACCAATATGTGTGTTGTTGTTTCTATTTATAAGAAAGCAACATATTTTCATTGTTTTTTAGGGTTAAACGTAGAAACCTAAAGTTCATTGCAAGAAACAGCAATTTACTTTTTGATTTTGCAATTCGCCTTAAAAATCATTGAAAGCATGTTACATGGAGAAACAATAAAAATTCCAATTAGAGCAATGTACTTTAAAAGTACATTGTTATAATTAAGAACCATTGATCATTTGATAAGTTTAAGTGATTATACATCTTGGAATTTAGGAAAAGGTTTAACTTTTTTTCAAGAAATAGGAATGTGGTTTGTGTATATGTATCATGCCTGAAACACACATACATAGCTATATACATTACACACAGTTGTAATGAAAAGGAATGAAATTAAGATACTATATTGCACTATAAATTAAAGTAGACCATAAATTAATTATGTATAATTTTTTACTCGTGGTGCAGCTTTTTTTCCTTAATCTGACTTTCAAAAATGACTATTTTGCCCCTTGCTTTGTAAATTAGCAATTTGTGCAAAACATCAAGATCCCATGAAAAGGAAGTATGAAAATGAACAAAAGAAATAGGGTGATGTATGTGGTAAGTTAAAGAAAAGTTGTTTCCTTCAATTTTGAATAGAAAAGAGGAGTTTCTGCCATTGGATTATAATGAACAAAATAGTAGAATAAGGACAGAATTTTTATTATTTATTAATTTATTATTTGTATAATTTTTATCATGTTACTGTTTGACTTGGGCATTGAAGAGATCAGCGTGTCTCAGAAATTCAGAAGTTCTTTGATTTATGAATGATTGATACATTGTACCACATAACATTTAAAAAGGTTAAAACTAAATGAAAATATATATATATATTATATATAGTATATATATATATATATATCTCTATATATATTAATTTCTCAATACACATGAAAGTTTGTTTATTTTTTTTTTGACAAATATTTATTAATGATAATATATATTTATTCATCATTTTTTACATGTAATTTATATTTTGCATGGTTTTTTCATCTATATTTTTACATTACATTAAATATATTTCAATATAAAACACAGTTATTTCTATTATTGAGCGTGTTTTTTTTTCACTATATTGAAATTTATATTGCATTCTACATAATCAGGATTTTATTAAATATCCATAAATACAAATTATTAATTAAAATTCAAACCAGTTTACATATTAATGTTATTCGTTATATCATTATATCATTATAACTTATTTAAAATTATTTTTAAAATTTTCATCCGTGGTGTCTATGGGTTATAACCTAGTCTATATCTATATCTATATCTATATTCTATATCTCTTATAAAGCTAGCATTTTTTCTTTCACCACATTCATTTGAAACTCTCATGCATTTTTCCTTTCACCACATTCATTTGAAACTCCCATGACTTTGTCAATTTCTTCCTAAGAATGGTTATAAGTTGTTAATAAATAGTAAATAAATATCAAACATAAAGTGTAATCATATACAAACTAAATTTTAATATTAAAGAATATATTTACTTCTACTTATAAAGTTATGTTTTTTAACTTTTAACATATTATACTTAATTTATTAATTTTAATATATTGTTGGGTGTAAACCATTATCATTTTAAAGCTACAACTTTTCAACAATTTGTATAAAAAACTTAAATTATAAATTTAAATATAACATTACAAGATCAACTTAAATATAAATTTTAGTTTAACTTAAATAACCCAAATAATATTTTGTAAATAGTTAAAACTAATAAATTGTAGTGTCTTTCTAATAATGATTATAAGTTGGTTAATAAGGTTATAAATATCAAACCGAAAGTGTAATCATAAATAAACCTAAATTTCAATATTAAAATAACATCTTTACTTTACTTTAAAAGTTATGTCTTTAATTTTTAACAGAATATACTTAATTTATTAGATTAAGATGTTGTTGTATGTAAACCATTATCAATTTAAGGCTAAAACTTTTGAACATTTTGGACAATATACTTAAATTGTTAATTTATAATATAACATTACAGTGTCAACCTAAATATAAATTTCAGTTCCACTTAAAAAAACTCAATGAATATTTTGTGAATAGTTAACAGTAATAAATTGTAGTGCTAAATACACAAACTGAATTATAATCTCAGTTTAACTAAAATATTTCCTAAAGATATTTGTATAATCGTTAAAAGTTTTCAAATAAGTAGCTTAAAGTACTTACAATAATAATAGTTAAATATAACTCTATATAAATGATTATATTGTTACCTTTAAAATCAAAAAACAATGTTTGATGTTTTAAATAATTATAATGATAGAAATTAAAACGTTAAACAAATAAATTTCAAAAAATTAATTAACAATAAAAACAACTATAAATAACATTAAAACATATATTATATTTAATTTTATTCATGAGTAACTGGCGGGTAGAAGTCATTCAAACGGTTGAGATTATGCAGTTATAATAGATGTATATATTATAATATAATTCAAAATAATCAATATATTATATCAATTTAGTATGTGAACTAGTATATCAAATTTAACAACAACGTTATTGTTATATTTAATAAAACATATATTTTTAAAGATTTCAACTATATAGGTGTTTCTGCGCAACGCGCGGGCATTCGCCTAGTTACCCTAATAAATAAAGATAATTTTACCAAATGTCAATTTCTTATTGAATTTGACACGTGTTATTTTCTTAGAATTTTAAAATTATTTTTTTTTCACTTGTCATTTTTATACTTTTTTTTATTTTTTATTCAACATCCACCTATTAAATACCACCTCATAGTAATTAATGTGAATTAATGTATATAGTAATCTTACATTTGTGAATTCTTATTTCTATTAATATATTAATGAATTCCATTTGTGAATTTATATTAGTTAGTTTTAATAGTATATATTAATTAAAACCGAAATTGATCTCTATGGTTTTCTCATTTCTATTGAAGGAAAAAACAACAAGTTTTCTTTGTTGATAAAAAAAACCCTATGATATGTGTAGTATAGTCGAGTTCAAATTGTCTCTTAGCAAACAAGTTCTATATCGTGTTAAAGCGATCAGAAATTACATCAATTTTGTTGAGGCTGATTTAATTTGTTCCTGTGGTCTAGTTTCGTATACGAATGTGCTTTCTTGTTGCTTAAGGAGTTGAAAAGCAATAAACTAATGATGGATTTGTTGGTATGCGTAACATTTAGGGTTTGGAGTGTAACATCCGGAATTTCAGGTATATTATCGTATGGTTAAATTTTGAAATTGATGGGGTGACTCGACTGTAACATCCCATTTAAATATAATAATTAAATAATAAGCTCGGGACCCCAAGGAGTAATTTTATTGTTATTTTATATTATTGTAGCCCAAAAATCAAATAATAATTATCAGGATGTTAGTTTCGGTGGTTAAAGTGTAATTAAGGGACTTATTTTGAAAAGGTTTTGTTAGAAGAGGGTCCTTTGGTATCATTGGACCTATATAAAAGAATTGATGGAAGCAGGGGCTGATTGGTAAGATTTCGGACTTAAGTTGTAAAGAATTTCAGGAGGCAGGGTGTAAATGGCAAATTAAGGATTTGCTTTGAAAGAAAATAGAGGAGGAGGGACTAAAATTGTCATTTTGGAAGCATGATTGAGTGGAGCGGGTATATATAAACTAACTGTTCCATTGCCTAAACCCTAACCCTAAATTAGCTTGCTAGCCGCCACCTTATGCCATCGGATCCTCCAAGCCGCCACCTTCACCTCCTCTCTCTCCGGCACCAT